GAAATAGTTCCTTACCTAGGCTCTGCCTAGAAGGGCTCTTACTGTCTGAGCTTAAAGGGCCGGGCAGTGGAAAACGCCCCGGGCGGTTCCCCCGGCATCCGCCCCGCGGTTCCCCCAGCTACGTCCCCTTAGCTTAGCGTTGCTTGTCTCATCTTAGCGTAGCTTATTTCATCTTGGGCCAGCTTAGCTTCATCTTAGCTCAGGCGTATCTTAGCTTATTCTTAAAAGGGCCGGGCAGTGGGGCTCGCCCCGGGCGGTTCTCCCGGCATCCGCCCCGCGGTTCCCCCAGTTGCGCCCCCTAGGTTCACCCAGCTAAGCTAAGCTAAGCTAAGCTTAGCTAAGCTAAGCTTAGCTAAGCTAAGCTAAGCTAAGCTAAGCTAAGCTAAGCTCATCTCATCTTAGCTTAGCTTAGCGTTCCCTTGCCTAGCTTAGCTTAGCTTAGTTTAGTTTAGCTTATCTTAGCTTAGCGTGGCTTAGCTTAGCTTAGCTTAGCCTAACCTAGCTTAGCTTGGCTTAGCTTCGCTTAGCGCAGCCTAGCCTTAGCTTAGCTTAGCGCAGCATAGCGCAGCGCAGCATTAGCACAACATAGCATGGCATAGCATAGCATAGTATTGCTTAGCATAGCACAGCGCAGCATAGTATAGCACAGCACAGCTCAGCACAGCATAGCATAGCGCAGCACAGAATAGCAAGAACAAAAGCAAAGGCAATGCAAAGCAAAAGCAAAACCGATGCGAAAGTGCGGATGTAGATGTATATGTAGGTGTAGGTGTAGATGTGGATATAGGTGTAGGTGTAGGTGTAGGTGTAGGTGTAGGTGTAGGTGTAGATGTAGATGTAGATGTAGCTGTAGATGTAGCTGTAGCTGTAGATGTAGCTGTAGATGTAGATGTAGATGTAGATGTAGATGTAGATGTAGATGTAGATGTAGATGTAGATGTAGATGTAGATGTAGGTGTAAGTGTAGATGTGATAATCGTTGTTGATGTTGATGCAGATGTATATGCAGGTGTATATGTAAATGTAGCTGTCGGTGTAGATGTAGATGTTGTTTTTCCTAGATGCTCTAACTATTTGGTCGTGTCGCAGTGGGATACTTTGAATCGTAGTAATGTAGTAATCGGAGTAATCGTAGTAGTAGTAGTAGTAGTAGTAGTAGTAGTAGTAGTAGTAGTAGTAGTAGTAGTAGTAGTAGTAGTAGTAGTAGTAGTAGTAGTAGTAGTAGTAGTAGTAGTAGTAGTAGTAGTAGTCGTAGTAGTAGTAATAGTAGTAGTAGTAGTAGTAGTAGTAGTAGTAGTAGTAGCAGGGGTAGTAGGAGTAGTACGGGGAGTAATAGTAGTAGTGGGAGGAGGAGGAGGAGGAGCCTTATAGGATTCTTATAGGATCCGTTGAATCCCTGCAGGATTCCTAAAGGATGACGACAGGCTGCTGAGGGATTTGTTGCGGCCCGATGGGAATCCAATTGGTTTCCTATAGGATCCGCTGGAGTTTTACAGGTTTCCTGTGGGATCCCCATAGGACTCGTTGAAGCCCTCTAGGATTCCGATCGGATCCCCATAGAGTCTGCTGAAGCCCTGAAGGATTCCAATCGGATTCCAATAGCCCTAGTAATGATCAAACCTTCGGCTGCAGCCAAATCGAAGACGACGAGATCGAGGCCTAAGCAAGTACACCAACATGTTATCAAGAGCTACGTCAAGGCGACTGGCAAGCATGTCATCCGCCAGGGCGGCGGCTGGGGAGACCTCTGCTCTCACGCGGTGGCTCTGGAGATGATGATCGGCCGGGACACGATCAATTTCGAATGCGCAAGCGAGATTGCCCAACAGACCCGCGCCGTCTTGCAGGCCAATCACGGCGTCAAGAAGTTCTACGACTCATGCTGGACAGCTGATCGCACAACCAGTGCGGTCCCTTAGGTGGGCGCATTTTGCGCGGGGCCCCAATGCAAGCCCTTCGCGACGTGCGGCAACCAAGGTGGGGAGAGCGACAGCCAGGGCCTGATCATCATGGACTGCGCAGAGTACAGCGTCACTCAGACGCCCGCCTGCTTCGTCGTCGAGAAAGCACCCACTCTCATGGGCAAGCACAGGAAGATCCTGAACAAGTTCGTGGTCGTGTCGGACTTCATCGACTCGAGGCAACCAGCCAACATCCCTCCCGACAGGACCTGCCTGAACAACCTTACCCGGGTGATTGGCTTTGTCAAGGATGCGGGCTACGACCCAGCGAACGACGACATCATCTTGGACGTGTGCGAGTCCGAGAAGTCCGGCGACAAGTGGCAAGTCGGCAAGTTCCCGACTCTGACTAGGACCACGGCAGGTGTCGGCGGCTAGGATATGACCCGCCACTCCCGTATGATGGTCACGAGCGAGATGGTGGCCATCCAGGGCTTCCCGAAAGGCCGCACGAAATGGAATGGTCTGCTCACGGAGAAGGGCCGCAAAGCGACCCATCGCAAACTCAACATGACGATCGGTAACACGGTGAGCGTGCCCGTCGTCGGCCGTCTGATGCACAAGCTCCTCACCCTTGCGGGTAAGCTCGACAAGAACACGCCGGACCCGTGGTGCGACGCAGCGTAGTTAGACGATCTGTGCTCATATTCAAAGTCACGCGTCGAGCTGGGTACGCCCGCGTTGCGATGGACGAACGAATTAACCATCGTCATTATCACCAATTGTTGGCGCTTCGCGTATCCCCACCAGCATCAGGCAGGTCTACGCCGTCGCCACGGTTCTTGCTCAGCCCACCTGGCTGGTATACGCCGTCGGCACGGTCTTGGCCCTTGGCGCCCCGCTGGCGACTCGACCATCGTATACTTCGCCTTTCCCGCCACCCTGTTTGAGAGGGGCGCAATTGCAGGACACTCACCTGCTTCCGCACCTCCATCCGTGTGGTCTAACGCCGCAGCGCGTAACACCGAATTCCCTGGCATTTTGCTCTGGGCTGCACTATGCTCGAGCTTCCCTGGGTGCCCATCAGCCAGCCAGCCCTCGCCCTGCTGCCCCAGCGGCCGCCTTGTGAGCTGGCCCGGCCGGTCTGAGTTGCGCCCTGCAGCTAATCAGGTTTGCCCGTAGGCCCAGACAACTTCTCTTGCCGCCTGCGCTCTTCGCTCGCGGCCCCGACCAAAAAAAAAAAAGTATCCCCACCAGCCAATCCAGAAATGACGCCCAGGCGAGCTGAGGTGACCAGGGAAGTCAGGACCGTCTTTGAGCGTCTTAGTTGCCTCGGGGATCCTCTTGACGCCTCTGGGGGGTCTCTCGGGGGTCCCTAGGAGGCCTCTTGGGGCCGCCTGGGCGCCTCTTGGGGCCCTCTTGTGACGCTCTTGGGGGCTTTCGAAGCGCTCTTGGAACAATCTTGGAGGAACTCGATCAGCGAAGAAGAGGGTCGCAATTCCCCCCCCCCCCCCCTCGGTAGCCCCAACAATCGCCTCCTGGACCCATCTTGGAGCGCTCTTGGGCGCTCTTAGGGCTGTCTCAGGGCTCTATTGGTCCCCATGTTGGGGCTCTCTTGGGCCATCTTGGAACCATCTTGAGGCCTCGGATGGCCATCGGAAGCGAAAAGGCGAGAAGGCAACAACCATCTATTTCCCTTGAATGTGTGAAGGATTTCGGAGAATTGGAGAGCCTCCTTGGAGGTTTCGGAGGCCTCTTGGAGCCGTCTTGGAACGATATTGGGGCCTCTTGGAGCATCTTGGGAGCCATCTTGGGGCATCTTGCGCTATCTGACGCCATCTTGGAAGCCATCGATGGCTATCTGTGCCTCTTGGAGCCGTCTTGGGCCATCTTGGACGCTCCAACGCGTCGCCGCCCCTCCCCGTCCAAATCCAGGGGAGGGGGTAGGGGGCAGGGGTAAACCCCTCCCCGACGGAGAAGGGGGTTGGAAGCGGACCATCCCTAGACCACCTACGCCCGGAGGGCTGCTGGGGTTACATTCCCAACAAGTGAATGACTATCACCGTCTTCAGCAATCACTGTAGAAACATGATAAACAACAGGCAATCGCCACATACAAAAGCAACGGTGACGAGCGAGCGTCAACAGCAAAAAAAGGGAGAAGGAGGATGAGGAGAATGAGGAGGATGAAGAGGAGTACGGGGAGGAGGAGGATGAGGAGGATGAGGAGGATGAGGAGGATTAGGAGGATGAGGAGGATGAGGAGGATGAGGAGGATGCGCGAACGTCAACATTACACTGATGAGGAGGGGTACGAGGAGGATGAGGAGGAGGACGACGATAAGGATGCGGGGATGGAGGAGGTGAGCAAAAGGAATAGGAGCTGGATAGTAGCCGAATGACGAGTTAGATGAGGAGCAGCAGCAACAGGAGGTACAATATAGGGAAGGCTTCGCCACTCCCAGATCGGGCCAGTGCTGATGGAGCTGCCGGCGAGAGCTATTCCCCCTTCCCTTCCACCCTCGCCTCCTCGTCTGCCCTCCTCTTCCTCAGCCCTCCCTCCTCTTGGTCCTCCTCTCCCTCCACATCCTTCTCCCCCTCCGCCTCCCTCCCCATTTCCTCTCCTCCTCCTCCTCCTCCTCCTCCTCCTCCTCCTCCTCCTCTTACTCCTCCTCGCGGTCCCGGTTTTTTGGCTGAAGCCCATGGCATGCCGCCGTGCATCCCATCTACTTATAGATAAGCCCTCCCTGTGGCGTAGCTAGGTTGGGCCGAGCGTTTCGCCTGAGATTGCTGTACGACCTCAGAGCTTGAAACTTCCAACGATTGCACGGATGGAGCACAGGTCTGTTCGACGTGGGGCTATCACATCTCCAGTAACTACACGGATGGAGGGGTGCCACCTTCAAAATGGGGGTCTCGTCTCGGCGCGGCGCATTTTGATCTTACAAGTTTCCATTACTTGCACGGATGCAGGGATGTGTTTTTCATCAGCCAGGTACTCCGTCGTGAATTCTGTTTGGGACATGTTAGAAATGGCCGCATGGCCCCTGTTCTCGTGCCGCGTGGCTAATGTTCTCGTGTACACGATGGAAAGGCCAGGTTAAGATAGAAACCATACCAACTAAAAAACAGCCCAAACACAGGCCAGACGGGGCTCGCAGCCGCTTCGGGCCGCGTGGCAGGGAATGCGGAAGTAGCGGCGGCCGCCACTGGTGAATCAAAACGTTCGGGTGGCATATCATTTTCGCGATCAACATCAGGTCCGCCTGTCGTGGCAAGCGCAGAAGGACGGGCGGCAACAGGGGCAGCCGCTGCCTGAACATGACGCGCGCTGGGGCCCGGCACGGCTTCTCCCTGGGCAGGCTGAAATGGCGACGAAGCGAAATCCCCGAACGTCTCCTCGACTGCCTCTACCGGTCGCTCCCTCGCGACCCCGCGGGCCGCGACGCGTCGGGCCTTGGCTCGGCTGGACTTGGAGACTGGCGTCGGCCGGGCCTGTGGCCTGGGCGCCCGAGGCAGGCGGGCGGCCACGACGAGCTTGCGACAAAGAAGCTGGCAGCGTGAGCTCCGACGGGGCACAAGCTCGCCACAGCGTGGCTTCCACGGGGCCGTCATCACCGTCGACACCTGCACGATGTAGGGCAAGCGCGGGCAGCTGGCCATGATGCAGTCGAGCTTGCCACCCTTCCCCGACGCGCGCGCTCGATGTCGGGCGCGAAAAAAACAGCCCCCACCTTCTCGACAAAGCCTTCGCTGACGAGGACGCTGGGATCAATATTGAAACCTCAAATGACGAACCACGGTGAACGAAGTCGTGCGACTACCGCTCCTAGCTCAGCGGATCGAAAAACGCCCCTGCCACTGAGGCCCTCGGAGCGGAAGCCGTAGAAACTGATGGCCACCGCTGGCTAGCCGTGCGCGTGAATGAGCCCGATCGAGGAACCGTCGCAAGACGGAAGCAAGGGGCCTGCAGGACGCGAGTGACCACGCCGGACCCACTAAGCCGCAGGAATTTGATGGAATGCCGACACAAAACCCATTACCCTCCTTCGTGCCCTGTGAGCCGCGCGGCGTTGTCGATCAACTGGAGACGAGGCTTGCGGGCCTGGCTCTTCGAATGCTGCAGCTCGCTGGTCGACCCGGCACGACTCCCAATTGGACCACAATAAAGAAACGGCGCGCACGCTGGGCCAGTGATGAAGCCCCGGGCCTGCTTGCCCACGGCTGTGACGTTGCCGAAAAAAATGTCGGAGTCCGAGTCCTGCCTGGGGTCCGAGAAACCTTCGCGGACGACAGGCTAACTGAGCACCGCGATCATCAACATGTGCCCCTGGCTGGTGGACGCGATGGCTGCAAAACCCCGAACTGAGACCCGACGACGATCAGGAGGTGTAGCGGGTCTCGAAACGCCGACCTCCATCCCACAAGGACTTCAGACCCCAGCCTGCGCCCGAGCCTGCCGTACATGAAGGGGCCCTGGGACACACACATAAATACACACAAATAAAAGGATTCCCCATATTTTCCTATATTTTCTCGGTTTTTGTCTTCCCCCCCACTTCCCATATTTTCCCATATTCTCTGGGGAATCGAGGATTAATTGTGTCTGTGTGTTTCCTTTCCTCCTGAGTACAGCTGGTCTCGGCCGCGGCCCGCGACGCCGCCTGCTTGGCAGGCGCGGCGCTCGGCCGCGCGCCGCTCTGCTCCTGGTTTTGGCAGCCCCGCTGCCGCTGGCCGCCGCCGCCGCGCTGCCGCCGGCCCGGCCCGGAGCCTGCGCGCCCCTCGGGGGCTGCTGGCTCGGCCGAGCGCTCGGCGGGCGCCGCGGCTGCCGGAGCGCCGTCTTCGCCACGGCGCCTCTCGGCACATGCGCGCGGTGATCCGGGCCTGCGGCTCCCTGGCCCGCTCGAGCCACGTGGCCATCGACGTGTTCTTGGGCTCCGTGGGGTCTCGGACGCCCAGCAGATCTTCTGTGGGCTTCCTGAGATCGACCCTCTCATGCTCCCCTGCGTCCAGCGTCATGGTCTCAGCGAAGAGTTGCTCGTCCTAGTGATAGGTAGCTCCCATCGTACTTAAGGACCACATCCCAGGAATAATTGCGAGCACGGGAAAGTGTCGAAAGAGTGTCGAAAGAGTGTCGGAAGAGTGTCGAAACAGTGTCTCACAGAGCTCGGCACGTGAAAACCCTTGAGTTTGGGTATTTTCGGGCGCTCGGCATTCTTTCTGGTGGTCAAGGCTACAGTAGGGAGGAACATCATAATCCTAGTGGATGGAGGAGAGAACGTCCGTCTTGTCGCCGGCAACGGCGGGGCCGCTGGGAATGACGCGCCGACATGATTGCCGGGCGCCCCTGCCGCAGGCCTTCTTGCGTCCTCGACAACCGCCAAGGTGCACGCCGCATGCGCCTCCCACTCCTCGGCCTTGGCCAAAATGGGGCGGCACCGCCGGAGTGTGGCGATGGTTTGTGATCGTGATTCCGCGCGGCGCCTCTCACTGCACCGCTCGCCCCTGTCCAGGAACCCTCGGGAGCGAGCGCCGCCGCACGGGGGACCGCTTGAGCAGGGGGCGGGCGGTGACCTCCGGGGTCTTCTCCAGCACGCCGACGTGATCGGCCTGGGAGGACTCGATGGCGAGCCGCCCGTCACCTCCCTTCGCCTGCTGCTCCCGGCTCTCTCCGTGCCGGTGTAGAGCTCCCCCCTTCCTGCGGCATCTGGCGCAAAAGCCCTGCCTGCGGCGAGGAGTACGCTGCTGTACCCGTGGCGCCCGCAGCCTTTGCACGTGCTCCAGGGACCCTTCGCAGACATGCTGCCCCCTTTGCCACCGAGACAGATAAGATAGGGCTAGGATCGGGATAAATCGCTCCAGAGCGTTCCGGAGCGCTCTCAGAGCGTTCCAGAACGCTCTCGGAGCGGCCGCGGCGCCCAAGACGTCCTCCAAACCCGCCGAGTCTCAGAGATTTCGAGTTACCCCGATCCGATGTTGTCCCGATCTTCGCGTCGTTTTAATAGACGGCCCGAGGCTGCTGGGCTGTCGCCTCGGTGCCCCATCAAGCCCCTCGAGCGCCTCGTCAGGGATCACCCAAACGGGTCTTTCGAGCCAGCGCTGGAGTCAGAATGGCTATGCGGAGGGTGGGGAGGAAGGGGGGGAAGGAAGGAGGCAAGATGGTAGGGGGAGGAAAACATGGGGGAGGTAGAAGGACGAGGCGGAGGAGGATAGGATATAATGTGTCTCCACCTCCCTGGCCCACGTCAACGTCGTCGTCATCATTGGTGTTGTCGTCGCCATTCTCGTCGTCGTCCTCGTGGCATACAGTTTATGTCGGCCAGCACGGCGCTGCCACGACGTGGCGACTAGAATAGAATATGACTTCTTCGCGCCTCCAGTCGTTGCCACGTGGCGAGTGGAGTGGTACAGTATTTTTGTTCGGCCTCCGTGGCGTTGCGACGTGACGAATAATTAGTGGAACAGTTGTTTGTTCGACCCCGCGGCGCTGCCGCGTGACAAGCAGAGCGTATGGAATGTACTGTTGATTCGCGCCTCCGGGAGCTGCCGCGTGGCAGGTGGAGTGGGTGAGTAAATGTTTCGGCCCCCAGCGGCGCTACCACGTGACGAATCTACACCCTGCGAGATGCTTTAGAAATCATGGGTTAAGAAATTCATAGTCTCAGAACTTGAATCAAAGCCCAGAATGTCTATTCAAATCTTGGGATCTACATTGAAACATTAAGAATAATCGAGACTCTGGCCGAAAACTTGGGTTTTCTTAAGCATCGCCTAAGGTGTAGTGGCGCAGTACTTGTTCTCGCCCGCCCCCAGGCGGTGCCACGCGGCGAAAATCGAGTGGGATAGCATTCTCCTCAGCCCCCGCGGCGCTGCCACGTGACGCGCAGAGCGGAAGCAAAGTTTTCGTCCCCGCCAAAGCGCGTGGCCACGGGGCGATTGGAGCGGGAAGTATGTTCGTTCGGCCCCGCGGCGCTGCGACGCGACGCGGCGCAAATTGCATCACAGTGCATTGCACTGCATTGCACTGCACTGCATTGCGCTTCGTCGCGTTGCACTGTGTTGCATTGTGCTGCGCTGCACTGCACTGCATCCAGTTGTTGCAATGCAGTGGGTTGCATTTGCCTTGCAGTGCATTGCGCTGCATTGCATTGCGTTGCATCCTGTTATGTTGCATTGCATTGTACTGCGTCGCATGTGCATTGCAGTTGCAATAGATTGCATTGCAGTAAATTGCGGGCGAGGAGGAGGAGGACAGGGAGGGAGAAGAAGGGAGGAAGGTACAGAGAAAGGTGGGAAAAAGAGAAGGAGTGAGGAAGGAGGAAGGGGGAAGAGGGGAGGGCGAATGGGGGGGGAATGGAGGGGAGAATCGGCCAACCACCCGGGCAAACGGGCAACCGGCCACCCAATCACCCAACAAACCAACCAACCGACCAATCACCAGTCAACCAACTGGTAAACCAACGCAACAACCTCCCAACCAACCAGCCGGCCTTCCAACCAACCAACCAACCAACCAACCCATCGCCTCGGACAAACAAAAATGATCCGGAAATCTGTGAGCCAACCATCCAGTCAACCAGCCAACCAACACACTAACCAACCGCCCAAGTTATCAACAGCAAATCCACTCACCAACCAACCAACCAACCGAACTACCTATCTACCTATCCGCCAACAAACGAACCAACCTCATGGAGAACAAATTGTTGACCTGGCAATCGGCGAGCCAATCAGGCAACCGACCCACCAACCAAACAGACCTTAAATGGGATTTGCTTAAGATGTCCCACACGGCAAGTCCCGCAAATCATCTCTTTGACCTGGATCTTGTTTTGACCCTGAAACTTTGAAAATTGGCCCCGACATTGAACCCATACCATGATGCCGACCTGTCCGCGCTGCCGCCAGAGGCATCGCTGATGGCGCTCGCGCGCGCGTTGGGCGGAGAGAGCGACCAGGGCGACCCTCACGGAACGGTCTGGCTCGAGAGAGGAGGAGGAGGAGGAGGAGGAGGAGGAGGGAGGAGGAGGAGGAGGGAGGAGGAGGGAGGAGGAGGGAGGAGGAGGAGGAGGAGGAGGAGGAATGGACAATGTACACCATTCACTTTGAAGAACTATATCCTCCACAACGGTAAAGGATTCTAGTGCTGTTCGTCCTAGCTTCACTGCTGTAGACTTCATGTTGGATCTGAGCGCATGTTGTAGTTATACGATGTTTGAAATACTCTCGGACGGTCTATAGTTGAAATATCTGCAGTTACTGGTGTATGAGCTCTACGACGTCCCCGGCGGCAATAAGGTTCACAATTTACTACTGGCTCCCAGTTCCATTTGTCTGCTAATGGGAGTCGGAGTTCTGGGGCTCAGATGCAGTGAACGGCGACCTTAGGAACACAAGATCTGTGAATAGTAACGGGCCCGCCAAAACATTCCCAAATAAATTATCCACAAAAAAGCGAACACAGATTTGCTGAAGCATTGTTTTTGAGGACACATATATAGAGCTGACCTTTCCCTGATCCTTAAACATCGGGTTCCCATTTGGAAGCGAATGATGTTCATGGCGTTGCGAGTTCATTTACGGCATCAGCTCTCGGGCTGCGGTGTCTTGGCGCACTGGCCGCCAAGTGGACCCAGGATCTGGCCCTTTGCGCGGCCAAGTGGGCCGAAGTCCCTGGGACTTTATAGGATCGATCCCTTTCAGATGCACACTCGGCTGCCGAATGGACTCTGACGCCGAACGGGCTAAGAAGGGAGCCCTGGGCAATACAGTACAGCAGCGGCAAGACTCGCCGGGATCGGCCCTAAGGAATGAAATGAACGCGGGCTGCAACGCAGCAGCGATTCACTGCGGACTAAGCCGGCTCGGAAGGAGGAGAATGAGGAGGAGGATGAGATGTCGACGGATCCCCGCAAATGCACAGGTGCCTCGAAAGCCTAAAGCCCCTCGAGGCCCCCAGAGGCCTCACGAGGTTCGAAAAGTTGCAAGACGTCCAACGACCTGGATCCTCGAATCTCACGGGTCGATGACCGAGGACCGGGACGGAGAAGCGCCGGCAGCCCGCGCTGGGGTCGCGGTCGCGTCGGCACGCAGAGGACCTGCCGTGGGAAGGCGGATCAAGAAGACTGGGTTGGGTTTCGGCCCGCTCGAGCACGCGAAGGTCTCATCATGGCGTGGAAAGGCGGGAAGAGACGACGACGACGACGACGACGACGACGACGACGACGACGACGACGACGTTGACGACGACCACCAACACGACGAAAGGGACGACGACGACAGAGACGACGACGACAGAGACGACGACGACGACGACGACGACCACGACGACGACGACAAACACCACGAAGAGGACGACGACAACAGTGACGACGACGACGACGACGACGACGACGACGACGACGACGACGACGACACAGACGACGACCTTCTCTGTTCCTCCTCGACTACCTGGCCGTACATGCCCTACCTGGCCTTGGAGATGCCTTAGATAACGTCATGCGGGTAGCCAGGGCTTTCCTTCTATTGGGAGCAGCCTGCGCGCCACGCACGGTGTTCGGAGGGCGCTCGGAAGACGGGCGCCTTGTGACGAGAAACCGTCCGCCAGCGAACCAGCGCTGTAGTCGGTGATCCTGGCCCCGCTGGTGGGATGCACGCCAGACATCATCGAATTCACGCGTCCAGCCCGGAGTCATAGTTACCTGGAAAAGTGCTCGGCAGCTCTCCTGGCGCTCAGTGCAAGGGGGGAGCCGAAGCAGTTCCACGGATCACAGGAGAGCCTCTGCTGCTTCGCAGAGGTCTGGAGCGGACGCAGTCTCTTCAGCGTCCTTGGAGAAATCAAGAGGTGCCGATACCGCTACTCCCCGGACCTCTCCTGGGGTGCGTTCTGACCAGGATCTCGATGCGAATCCCGAGGTGGCGACGAGAACCTCCCAGGAAAGGAAAAAGGGGACAGGCGAGGGAATAGAGGCATGGGTACCTTTTCCTCCTCGGATCCTCCTCTCCCTCCTCTTCCTCCTCCGCGTCCCTCTCCTGCTTCTCGGCCAACGCCTCGGCATCATCGTCCGAGGCCGGCGCCACGCCTCCCTCCTCCGCCAGCGGCACTGTGCCCTCGGCCCCCTGGCTGCCCCTGCTCCCCAGGGCACCCTCGGTCTCGCTCTCGTCTCCCTCGTCCGCAGGCTCGTCCGCCGAATCCTCCTGCGCCTCCTCCTGGGGAGCCAAAAAATGACTACCCCAAGATCCGACGCTCCAGAAAAATTGGAGCGGGCGGTTTTTGACAGTTTTCGGCCTCCAGGGGCCCTCGCTGGGCCTCGGGAGCGTCAACAAATGATTCAGGACGAAAAGCCGGTCCCGGGAAGTGGTCCAGGCCTCCTGGGTCCACGCACCAAAAAAATTGGAGCAGCCCTATGTCTGAGTACCTTCCAGGAGACCGTTTTTTTATCGGCGATCGCCCAGGTTATCCGGGGGGCGGGAAGGAGATGGGGCCCGCCGATAACCTAACCTTCGCGCTGTGGGAAGCCCTGCACATGCCCGCGCCCCCCACCCCGGACCTGCACAACCGGCAAGCTTAGGTCAGGGGGGGGGAGGGGGGCAAGCCCGATAACCAAGGTTATCGCTGGACCCTAAAAGGAAGTCTCCAGATCACCCCAGACCAACCCGAAGACCCAAATTTCGGGGGGGGGGGTTACGGGTTCCGTATATGTGTTAGTTCAACGCTCCCCGACGCCCCCCTCCCATGTGAAAGGAAGACAAATTTGAGGCCTTTGGGTTGGGTTGGGGTGGTTTGGTGGATGGTGACCCACAAGCGCCGATACTGCTACTCCGCGGACCTTTCCCGCGGCGCGCTCGGACCCGAACTTCGAGCATCCAGCCCCGTGGGCTCCCCAAACCCAGACCCCCGACGTCATGATGTTTTCATGACGTCGACCCCCAGAGGTCTTGACCCAATAACCAGGACCGGCTTCTCATCCTGAGTCGTCTTCTGACGGCCCCGAGGCCTGGGGCAGGCCCCCAGAGGCTGGAAATCACGAAAAACCCACCGTCGTGATCTTTCACTGCCCGAGGGGGTCTGGGGATCTCCGGCGCCGTGATCTCTCACACGCGTCGACCCGGTCTGGACAGCTTCCCTGGCGCCGGCGTTCCGGCCCGCATCGACGGCCCCGGGGGCCGGTGCAGGCCCCCAGATTTGGACGCCCGAAACCCAGACCCCCTCGCGTCGTGAAAAAATCATGACGGGAGGTTTTTCCTACTTTTCGGCCTCTTGGGGCCCTCACAGGGCCTCGGGAGCGTCAAAAAACGACTCAGGATGCAAAGCTGGTCATGGGGAAAGGGTCCAGACCTCTGGGGGTCGACGTTGTGAAAAAATCACGACGTCGGGGGTCTGGGAATGTTGTCCCAAACCAACAGCGGCCGCTGTTGGGCAGGCCGCCTTCTGTCTCGAATGGACACAGGCCGCGGCGGCGAAGAAGCGAGTCCTGTCCAAAGTGGACAGGAACTGCTGCTGGGCACTGCACCCATTCTTTCCGTGCCTGTCTCGGGCGTCCAGACCAGAGGCCGAAACTGGCGGAACACCCCCCGTCGTGAAAGCTTTTCGTTGCCCGAGGGGGAGCCTGGCCGTCCTGGCCTCGGCCAGGACGGCCAGGAGACTCACCGCCCAGCCCGGGCCCCGGCTCGGCCCCACCCCCCGAGCTCTCTCTGTGGGCGTGCACGGCGGGCGCGCGCCCTCCGAGGGGCCTCCTCGCAGGCGTCGCCCCAGGACTCCGCCTCCGAGACGGCGTCGAAGAACCCGCCGGGCGCCGCGGCGCCCCCGCCCTCTCTCGGTGGCTCGAGGGGGGGGCCCTGGGGGAGGGGGCCCCGAGGCCAGGAGGGGGCACATGTCACATGCGCGCTGCTTGAGGCACCTCGCCCGTGGGACCCCCTCCCCAGACCCCCGACGTCATGATCTTTCCAGAACGCCGACCCTCAGAGGTCTCGACCCATTCTCCAGCACCGGCTTCTCATCCTGCGTCGTCGCTTGACGGCCCCGAGGCCGGGTGCAGGCCCCCCCGGGGGCCGAACACTACGAAAAACCTGCCGCCGTGCTCTCTTCACTGCCCCCCGAGGGGGCCTGGGTCCCTCGGGACCCCCTCCTAGGATTATGTCGGGCCTGTCCCCCTACAGGGTGATTTTCGACGAAGAATACGGAATACCCCAAAAATACCAAAAAAGACCCCAAAAATAATACGGGGACTATTTCTTGAACATCCTTTTGCCATTTTGGGGGCGTTCGTGGGGCATTTATTCTTCCTTTTTCGTCGAGAATCCCCCCGGCAGGGGGGGCCACACGCCCGACCTGATCCTAGCACACCGCCGGCCCTCGGCCTCGGCGCCCCCGGCGTGCCCGCTGGGCGGCGGCCCCCGCGCCCGCGCGCCCTGCTGCTGCGGGGCGGGGCCCTCCGGCCGCGGCGCGGCCGCCGCCGGCGCCCGAGCGGCGCCCTGGCGGCCCGAGCCGCCAGGCGTGTCGGGCTCGAGGGCCTCGTCCTCCACGGGCCAGTCGCCTGGGCGGGGAGCCACGGCGAGCCCGGCCCCCTCGGGTCGAGGCGGGCGTGCCCCCCTGCTCCTCCTCCTCCCCCTCCTCGTCCTCCTCGTCCTCCTCGTCCTACTCCTCCTCCTCCTCCTCCTCCTCCTCGTCGTCCTCCTCCTCCTCCTCCTCCCCCTCCTCCTCCTTCTTCTCTGCAGGAGGGATGTCCAAGAGCAGTCACAACATAGCCTGGGGACGATGTTTTGAGCATTGGGGAGCATGTGTTGATGATTTTCTTGGCCATTCTGAAAAATGCCGTCCCAAATCCGTCTGCAGGAGGACACGCCCGACCTAACCCTCGGGTCTTGAGAGAAGCACGGCGGGATGTGTTGTCAAACGCCGGCCTCGGGGGCCGAGAGTTTCCGCCCCATGGGGGCCCTCGCTGGGCCCTGGGGGCCCTCCCGAAACTGCTCGGGGCGACAACCCGGTCCAGGGGAACGGCGAGACCTCCAGGGGTCCACGCTATGAAAAGATCATGACGTCGGGGGTCTGGGCGGCGTGTGCCGGCGGCGAGGTGTACTTGCCCACCGGAGCCCATCGATACGACGCAGGCAGTGCAGCGAGGGCCGACACAGGCTGCCTGCTGTCGGCGGAGCTGACGGGGCAACGCGCGCAGAGGGCCACGCCGTGCTTGCCGACCTGCCCATCGCGGATACCCCACAGGAGCCACAAGAGAGAAAGGAAGGCGCACCTCTCACACCAAAACGGCTCCTCGGCACGGGAGCGGCCGAGGGGAGGCACCCGGGGAGACCGCCGACAGACGTAACTATAGATGCCGCGAGAAGTCCACCGAGGCCCCTCGATGCGACGCGGGCGGTGCAGCGAGCGCCAGCAGAGGCCGCGTGCCGTCGGCGGAGCGGAACGACGAGGGAAACCCGCACGCACTGCCGACGCCGTAGCCCACCGTCCAGTGCGACACCAACTCCGACCCCCGACGTCATGTTTTTTTTTCCTGCCGTCGACCCTCAAAGGTCTCGACCCAGTCCCCTGGACGGGTCTCACCCTGAGCCGTTTCTTGACGGCCCCGAGGCCCGGTAATTAAGGGCCTCCCGAGGCCGACACGAGCGGAAAACCTCCCCCGTCGTGACTTCTCCATGGCCCGCGGGGGTCGGGGAAAATTGGGCCAGCGCCCGGTCTGAGGACCGCCGGCCTGAGACGGTCGTGCTGGAGCTGCACCCCATGGAGGCCGCCCTGCCCGGCAGGCCCCGGCCCCCCAGGCCGCCCGCGGCGGCCAGGAGGCCGCAGTCCTCCCAGTCCTGGCCCGGCTCCAGCGCAGCCCCCTCCACGGCGGCCTCTGGCGCCTGGCTAGCCGCCAGGAGCACCCAGCCCTGGCACCCCGCGTCGGCGACCTCGAAGGGGCAGGAGATGAGGTCGCACTCCGACTCGTGCGCGTCGCGGGCGAGGCGACCGTCCACGCGGCGGAGCCAGCGCCGGCGGCTCTGGAAGCAGCGGTCGCACTTCCGGCAGCTGAACTTGTTCCGCGGGTTCTGTCTGCACACGGCGACGTGCGCGCCGCAGCGCGACTTGGCGTCGCCACAGAACCAGCCGCCCCGCATGCCCTGGGAGTTGGAGAAGGTGGCGCCGCAGTACTCGCAGGCGCAGTTTGCCGGATTCTTCGGACAGACCTGGGCGACGATCAAAAACGGGTCTCACGCGAGATGACGTAGCGACCTTACGCGGTGGCTTATGCGGGCCGCCAGCGCGGCACGCCACGTTGGAGACGAGGGCGCTTACTCGCGACCTTACGCGGGCAGCTTACGCGCCAATGTCGGCGCAGACGACCCCGTTTGTTTGCGTCGCTCACCTGCAGGTGCGCCGACAGCTTCTCGCTCCCGCACTTCATGAACAAGCCGTGTGTCGTCACACACACAGTATCGCAGTGCTGGCAGGTGAAGCGGTTCACGGGATTAAACTCGCACACGGCCGCGTGGGCGTCGCGCCTGTCCGGGCTCGGGAAAACCTGCCCGCAGAAACAGCGATTCGCCGGATTCTTCTCGCAGCTCACCTCATGTGCGGCCCGCACCGACTGACCACTCGCGCTCACCATGCCCATGATCCCGTAGCGGGTGACGAACATGCTCCGGCAGTGGCGGCACTCGAACCTGTTCGCGGGGTTGAGCTCGCAGATCGACGCGTGCCTGTCTCGGGCCGCGGAGCCCGAGAACAGGCGCCCGCAGAAGCAGACGTTCCTGGGGTTCCGCTCGCAGCAGAGCTGGTGGGCGTCCCGCAGCGCCTTGCCGTCCACGCTGCGGAACCCGAACACCGTGAAGTGCGTCACAAAGGCGACGCTGCAGAAGGCGCACTCGTAGCTGTTGGCGGGGTTCCTCTCGCAGGTGGCGGCGTGCGCGTTCCTGAGGGGGAACGTTCTCGGCAGGTCCGGCTCGGGGGGGAGGGTAACATCGACTTGGAATCGGCGAAGCATCGCCGATACACCCTGCGAGATGCTTAAGAAATCATGGGTTAAGAAATTCATAGTCTCAGAAATTAAGGAAAACCCAGAACTTCTGTCAAAATCTTGGGATTTACATTGAAAAGTTAAAAATAATCGAGACTCTGGACGAAAACTTAGGTTTTCTTAAGCATCGCCTAAGGTGTAGATTGGTGAGTGGCCCCCGATGGCGATTCCGCAAGCTCTTGGGCGCGGCCGGCCATCGGGCCCACCAGGCCAGGCCGCGTCCGCCCATGGGCGCCCTGGCTTGAGCAGGGAGACCGCCTCCTTGTGGTGTTATCTCCTCTGTAGATCGCAGAGAGGGTCGCGAGCTCAGAGTCGATCTCCGACTTGCTCTTGTCCTTCGGGTCCAGGGAGACCTTCATCAACTTCCTGCCGTCCACGGTGATGCGCGTGCGCCTGCCGACGATCTCGGCAGGGCCAACGATGTCCTCGAGGATGGAGTCGTGCACCGCGGTTAGCGTCTGCCTCCTCGGCCTCACCTTGAGGCCCATGCGGCGGAAATTCAGGTCAAGGATGGTCCAGTAGGCGACGAAGATAAACTGCTTCTTCTGGAACTTCTGCTCCAGCTCGCGGATGAGGCGGCCCTGGGTCTTACGCACCGCCTGCCAAACCCTGTACGGGAAGTTCATCACGGCCCTCCTGCCGTTCTTCATCTCCACCTCCTTACTGTCGCCTTCAACCTCACGGAACTCCGCCTGACTGTCGCTCGAGGGTGATCGCATTGGCTAGAAGGAAAAAGAACGGCATAAACATAAACTTGTGGCGCTCCACGCGGATTTCTTAGATCTGCGCGGGCCCCCCCTCTCTGGCGCGCTGAGCACTCTCTGGGCGGCGCAGGAGGCGCCGCCCGGATGGACCAGGCGCCGATCCAAGAAATCCGCGCGGAGCGCCAAACGATTATGCCTGTGACGCGTCTGCTTCTTCCTCGATTAACAACCCCCTCCTCCAACTCTGTCTTCGGACGCCCGAAATGGGTACGGAAAAATGGGTACAATGCCCAACAACACATGTTGTCCCAAACCAACAGCGGCCGCTGTTGGGCAGGCGGCCTTCCGCACCTCGAATGGACACAGGCCGCGGCGGCGTGGACAGCGAGTCCTGCTCAAAACGAACAGGAACTTCTGCTGGGCACTGTACCTATTCCTTCCGTACCTCGAATGGACACGGGCCGCGGCGGCGTGGACAGCGAGTCCTGCTCAAAACGAACAGGAACTGCTGCTGGGCACTGCACCCATTCCTTCCGCAGCTCGAGTGGAGACATGCCGCGGCGGCGTGGACAGCGAGTCCTGCTCAAAACGAACAGGAACTGCTGCTGGGCACTGTACAGCGAGTCCTGCTCAAAACGAACAGGAACTGGCGTGGCACTGTACCCATTCATTCCTTCCGCACCTCGAATGGACACGGGCCGCGGCGGCGTGGACAGCGAGTCCTGCTCAAAACGAACAGGAACTGCTGCTGGGCACTGTACCCATTCCTTTCCGCACCTCGAATGGACACGGGCGGCGGCGGCGTGGACATCGTGTCCTGCTCAAAACGAACAGGAACTGCTGCTGGGCACTGTACCCATTCCTTTCCGCACCTCGAATGGACACGGGCCGCGGCGGCGTGGACAGCGAGTCCTGCTCAAAACGAACAGGAACTGCTGCTGGGCACTGTACCCATTTCCTCTCCGCACCTCGAATGGACACGGGCCGCGGCGGCGTGGACAGCGAGTCCTGCTCAAAACGAACAGGACACTGCTGCTGGGCACTGTACCCATTCCTTTCCGCACCTCGAATGGACACGGGCCGCGGCGGCGTGGACAGCGAGTCCTGCTCAAAACGAACAGGAACTGCTGCTGGGCACTGTACCCATTCCTTCCGCACCTCGAATGGACACAGGCCGCGGCGGCGTGGACAGCGAGTCCTGCTCAAAACGAACAGGAACTGCTGCTGGGCACTGTACCCATTCTTTTCCGCACCTCGAATGGACACGGGCCGCGGCGGCGTGGACAGCGAGTCCTGCTCAAAACGAACAGGAACTGCTGCTGGGCACTGTACCCATTCCTTTCCGCACCTCGAATGGACACAGGCCGCGGCGGCGTGGACAGCGAGTCCTGCTCAAAACGAACAGGAACTGCTGCTGGGCACTGTACCCATTCCTTTCCGCACTTCGAATGGACACGGGCCGCGGCGGCGTGGACAGCGAGTCCTGCTCAAAACGAACAGGAACTGCTGCTGGGCACTGTGCCCATTCCTTTCCGCACCTCGAATGGACACGGGCCGCGGCGGCGTGGACAGCGAGTCCTGCTCAAAACGAACAGGAACTGCTGCTGGGCACTGTGCCCATTCCTTTCCGCACCTCGAATGGACACAGGCCGCGGCGGCGTGGACAGCGAGTCCTGCTCAAAACGAACAGGAACTGCTGCTGGGCACTGTACCCATTCCTTTCCGCACCTCGACTTCGTCTTGCCCTTGAGGATCGCATCACATCTGCTGGCTGCTCCGGCCCCTGGGCGGGCGCAGGCCGTCACCGCCGGCCCCCGCAGGCTCCGAGCCGAGCCGCCTCGAGCCACAGCGGCCACTGGAGCCCACATGGCTACGGACGGCGCTCCAGGGGCGCCTCGGGGGTCGATGCGCTGCCCTCTGAGCCGATGCCCCCCAGACGTGAGGTCGGGCATGTCCCCCCTACAGGCAAATACTCGACGAACCCTCAAAGATAATGAAAGCATGCTGCAACATGGTCACTATTCTTTTTGGCCATTTTGGAATCTTCCTCCCGTAGAGGGGCGTGCCCGACTGCACCCGAGCGCTGCCAGTGCACTCCTGGCGTCGGGACTGCAGAAGACCTCCCCGCAGAAGCATATGTTCGCCGGGTTGCTCTTGCAGCCGACCTCGTGGGCATCCCGGAGTGCGCGGCCGTCGGCGGACCTGTAGCCGAGCACGCTGAAGGAGTTGAGGAACTCCCTGGAGCAGTGGCGGCACTGGTACCTGAGCGACGATCACAGGCGGGTCTTACGCGAGATGGCACGAAGACCTTCCGCGGTAGCCTGCGCGGGCTGGAAGCGGGGGCGCTCGTGCGCGACCTCACGCGGGCAGCGAGTGCGCGACGGTCAGCGCAGACGACCCCGTTGTATTGCGTCGCTCGCCTGTTGGCTGGGTTGGCCTCGCAGAGGGCGGCGTGGTTGTCTCGCGCGACGGAGCTCGGGAACACCCTCCCGCAGAAGCACCTGTGACACAGAGCGTCTAGAGAAAGCGGGACCTTCAGGCAGACGGGCCCTGGGGACCCGGGGGCTTTCCCCCCGCAGGACCAGCTCTTCGTCCTGGACCGTTCCTCTGGGCGATTCCCGGGGGGGGGGGGCTGACAGGCACCAGTACCGCTACTCCCCGGACATCTACCGGGGTGCGTTCTGACAGCTGAGCATTTCTTGGGGTGGAGGGCTCAGGGTGAAGTCCATATGGTCTTTTGCACATCCTGTGATACACCTTTTGCAGATTCAGGCTCCGAAGATGCCTAACAACCGCATGTCAGATTCCACCCTTCGCCCTCGAGGAGAACGCAGCCGTGGGGTAAACGAGGACCCTCCCGGACGAGCAGCGATACCGATATAGCCCCTTGGGGCCCGGGAGGGCCCCGGATCGAGCTCGAAGAACACACGTGTCAGAGAAGCGGGGCCCGCTCCCAGCGGGGCCCGCACTGCATGACCAGCCAGCACCGCCTCGGGACGCCGGACCGCATCGGGAGGTGCGCGTCGGATCGGGCTGCACGCTGTGCTATACTACAGGCTCGCTCTGCGCCGCCAGGGGCTGGCTACAGTCAAGGGGAGAGCGGCGCGCTGCCGCAGCGCGGGCGGACCCGCCCGGGGCAACGAGGTGGCGGAAGAGAGCATCTGCGCTCAGAGGTCCACGCAGCACGTCTCGAGAGGCTCCCGCCATCCAGCGTCAGAAGCTGCAGTCTTCCAGTGTTCGCCCGATTCAGAGTGCCCCGATCGGGCTGCATCGGCGCGGGATCGAACTCGAGTCGGGTCGGCTGCACCAGAATGCCCAACGACGCCATGCAAGCATCCGGCCGCATTCGGGGATGGAAAGACCCCCCTTTAGTAAAACGTGGTTTAGTGAAAACGACCTGAGGCCCAAACCTGACGGGCGCAAGCCTGGAAAATAACGGCCACGGCGCCCTCTCGAGAGCCGAAAACGGATAATTCACTAATCGACGTGTCACTGTTGGGGGTTCTGTCCGCCCCCGACGCATCGGGCCGTCGGAACTTCGGAATCGAGTCGGATCGGACTTCGGCGGCGAGCCCAGGGTGGAAGTGAAGAAAGGAGAAGGACTTCTCAGGAGGCTCGGGAGCCCCCCAGTCTCCTGGGAAGTGCTCTGAGCAGCCTCCCCCAGGAGAAGACCCCCGAAACTTCTCAGAAGGCGCGGAGGGGCTTCTGAGAAGCGAGAAGCCCCGCCGCCTTCTGAGAAGGCCTCCTCCTTCACACCTCTCCCCCCCTCGCCCGCCGCCGAGAAGTGGCCGAGGCTGATCTCGAACCGGATCGATCGGATCAAGATGGACCCGGTGTCGCTCCATGGCGAGAGCGCCTGTTCGCCGCGTTCTGCTCGCAGCCCGCCGCGTGGGCGTCCCGCAACGTCTCTGCCGCCTGCCCGAAGAGGCCCCTCGTGGGGTGGAAGGTCCGGCCGCAGTGCGGGCAGTGCGCGGCCATGAGCAGCCGGGTCTTGCCAGAGGTGTCCCAGGCCCGGCCCCGAGGTCCCGGCGTCGCAGCGTCTTCGAGCCGGGCCACTGTTGCCCCGTTTCGGGCTTCAGGACCCTCACGGATCGCCACGGCTCGAGAAGTGGCACAGAGAGAGGGGTGCAGGAGCTCAGGCCGTGATGCTTCCCCTGCTTCTCCCCTCCTCGTCCCCTTCCGCTGGACCGCGCAGCCTGCCCGGAAGACAGCGCCCGCGCCTGCCCGCTGGCGGTGCTTATCCTGTTGAGTGGCAATGCCAAGCAGTGCCAAGCAACAATGCCGAGCACTGCGTCCATGCAACAGGAAGGCTTCCCCTATGTGTTGCGCAGGGCCATTTTTCTGTTTTACACTCCTGCTGCTGTCGTCGTTTCGTACGCTGTGATTTTTCGCGATGCTGCACTCTTGTGCGCTGCCTTGGATCTTGAGGAGGGTGGCCCCAGGGCTTCCAGGAAGGCCCAGGCAGCCTCTGGGACAGCCCCACAGGGCCCAAGAGGGGCCACTGGGGCCCCCCAGATGGCCAAGAAAGCCAAGGGCACCTCTGTGGAGGAGGAGGAGGAGGAGGAGGAGGAGGAGGAGGAGGAGAAGGAGGAGGAGAGAGAGAGGAGGAGGAAGGAGAGGAGGGGAGGAGGGAGGAGAGGAGGATGGAGGAGGAGGTGAGGGTATGGGAGGAGGGAGGAGAGGGAGGATGAGATGGAGAAGGAGGAGGGAGGAGGAGGAGGAGGAGGAGGAGGAAGAGAAGCCTGCATGAGCACAAACTTCGAAACCCCGCGCGGATCGCCCGGGTCGGCGCCGGACCCTCCCCCGCTGGCGCGCGCGGCTCCTGCAGGGGTGGCGCAGAAGGCGCCGCCAGGGGAACCCGGCGCCGATCCGAGAGATCCGCGCAGAGCTCCAGCAGCTCCTCCTCCTCCTCCTCCTCTCCCCTCCTCCCCTCCTTCTCCTCCTTCCTCCTCCTCCTCCTCCTCCTCCTCCTCCTCCCAGGAGTAGAAAGGGCGGCAAGGTAGGGTGCTGACTGGGCCTTTTCTGAGGGTGGAGGGCTCAGGGTGAACTCCGTGTGGGCTTCTGCACCTCGGGGAGCAGTCCGTCTCTTGTGCTTCACCCCTTGCAGACTCAGGCCTCGAAAGTCGATCGAGACGGCATCTCAGATGTCACCCTCCACCCAGAGAAAATGCTCGGGCTCAGGCTGTTGCTCCTTCCTCGACTCGGGTTAGGTTGGGTGTGTCCTCCTACAGAGGGGGATTGTGGACGAGCAATGAAACCAGTCAACACAGACTCCAAAAACTATCAAGAATGAGACATCGTCCCCCGACTTGTTTTGTACTACGTTTGAATGTTCCTCCTCCTGAGGGGCGTGCCCGATTCCTCGACCCGGGCCAGGGACACCTTGGACCTCCGCTGCCCCGATGCGCGACGCCCACCAGAGGGCAGCGTGCTGACACGGAGCTCCGCAGCCGTGGGCCAGGACGTGGGCGAGCTCGGACACCCGGAGCCTAAAGACACGTCCTCATCTCCTGGGGGCGCATCTTTTGCCTCCGCCGCCCTCCGCCCGGCTTCCGCCGGCGCCTTCCGCCAGCCTTCCGCTGGCCTCCGCCGCCCTTCCGCTGGCGGAGGTGGCCTCGCTTCGCTTCCGCCGCCCTTCCGCCGCCGCTTCCGCCCCCTTTGCTGCGCCGCAGAGGGTGATGACAGCTCCCTCTGTCCTCGCAGGCAAGAAGGCCTGTCTGGAACCACCCCCGTGCCGAGCCCTAGGGGGCCACATGCAGACCCTACCCCCCTGCCCCCCACGACTTCTGAGGGGGAGGGTAGGGTTCACGCTGGGGTTCGCATGTGGCCCCCTGGAGCCCGCACGCAGCGTGCCGGCACGGACGCTCTGGGCACGGCCCGTGCTGCGTGGCAGCACGGGCGCATCGGGGCAGCGGCGCCTCGGACAGCCCCCGAGGCCGCGGCCGCGGCGGCCCCGCACCGCGCGGAGCCCTGCCCTCGCCGAGGCGGCCCCCCGGCGGCCACGGACCTCGGGCCCAGACGCCGCTGCGGGCCGCGCCGGCCCCTCGCCTCGCCTGGCTTCGCCCGGCCTTCTGCTCCTCGTGCTGCTCCTCCTGCAGCTCCTCCTCCTCCTCCTCCTCCT